TCGCAAAGATATCAGACGCATTTTCGACGGCACGGGGCTGGCTGGTTGCTTGGGTGGGTGGTTACACGGTGTCAAACAAACATTTTTTTGACTCTTTCCTTTTTTTTTTTTTTTTAAACATATCTTTTCTCATTTTTTTGAGCGCGCGCAGATTTTTCGGGGATCAAACCACAACAACGAACAAACAATATTTGGCGCACATAAACCACCACAAACAAAGCACACACACATGGATGAGAGCAAGCGGGGCAGATATATCCGGAATGGGGGAATTTCGAGCAAAGTAGGCGTGGGTGGCGGCGTCAATACCGGGATGGATGGATGGATGGATACTTGTGATGATATCAAAGGAATACGATGCGGAGGGAGGAAGGGAGGAAGGGGTATGGATGGGTCTTTTCTTGGAGATATCTGACTTGAGACGAATTCAAACTACCAACTGAACTCTTTTGTCAATTATGTGATACTTTATCCTTACTACCATTTCCTGTCGTGTTTGAAAACTTGACTGAGTGAATGTCATGCAAAGAGGGGGCAAAAGGAGGGGTTATCTACCATCCGTCTCGTTTTTACCTAACTTGCTGCGTTTTACGTAGGTAGAGTGCTCCGATTCAAGATGAGAAATTTTTCAGAATTCAATTCAACTTGTGAGGATTGGTTGTGTTTATGTGCGGGACGCGAGGTCAACTATACAAGTATATACAAACGAAAAGGTAACCTCATCCTCAACTCAACTCCACATATATACCATATGCTATTCTATACCCCCAATATCCTCATATCACTCACCCACTCACAAACACTGCGAGTAATAAGGATTCTGCACCTGGCAAGTATACGGCGCCTTGCACGTAAACGAGCCAGTCCACTGCAGGCCTCCGCACTGGCCGTAGCGCGCGTTGGGGACGTTGGCGGCCAGCGCAAGGATCCTCTGCGAGGCCTGCTCGGCGGCGATGACGATGTAGCTGGAGGGGTTGGTGGTAGGGACGCCGGGAAAGATACTAGCGTCGACGACGAAGAGGTTGTCGGTGCCGTAGACTTTGGTGTTGAGGTCGACGACTGCCGAGCCGCCGCTGCGGCCGTCGTCGGTCCCGATCTTGGCGGTGCCCATCCAGTGGTTGGAGCGGCGGTTGGAGTATGAGACGACCATCTGTTTTTTGGTTAGTTGAGGGGGTAATTTAGGTGGACATGCGAGGAAAGTTGGGGAATGAATGCTTACGTTGTTGACATAGTCGGCGGCGCTGACGCTCGCGTTGGGGTAGTTCCAGGTCAGGTTCTTGACCGTCTTGAGAGCGTTCTGCAAGTTGACGATGCCCTGGATGACGGCGGCCTTGTCGTTGGCGTCCTTGAGGTACGGCACGTCGGACACGACTGTGCCAAGGTTCGGGGTGATGGTCATGCGCCCGCGCGAGGTGGCGCCTCGGCCAAGGTACTGGCTCATGGTCATCGCTTTGCCGTTGGGGGTGTCGAAGCTGCCCTCCACTCTGGAGGTCCACTGCAGTTGTCGAACAATGCCATCGGCGCCCTTGATCTCTTCCCAGAACATGGGGCCGATGTTGGGGGCGGCCTGGGTCAGGATACCGGTGCGGCCATCTAATAGGGGTCAGCATATTGGTGCTTTCAAAGGAGGAAAACGGCTGTGGACATACTGAGGTATTTGCTCGTGTCTGTAGTGTTGGGCTTCGTCCATGCCTCGTAAAAGTCATAGAAGTTGACATCGGGATGCGAGATGACAGTGTCGGTGTTTAGGTGGTCATCCAAGTTGTAACCGACGGGCAAGTTGATCCACGACGCATTGTTGACCATGGTAGGGCCATCCGTCGAGCTCTTGACAACGGCCAGCTGGTCCGCAGGGCCGATTCCGCTGCGCATCAGGAGTTTGGCGCTTCCAAAGGTGCCGGCAGACAGAATAACACGGCCAGTGATGCTGGTGAGATTCAGCACACCCTGGTATCCGCCATTCCTGAAAGCCTCGACTTCGATGCCGGTGACGTGTCCGCCCTCGCGGATGACGCGCTTGACTGTCGTGTTCAGCCACAGGTTGAAGTTGCTGCGGCCCTTGGCGCTGACGAGGTAAGTGGCCAAAGGTCCTCCGCGCTCTCCGTTGGAATACATGTAAGCCGTGTGCGCAAACGTGCGGTTCTTCTGGTTCGGAGCACTATTTGCCGTGACTTGGCTCCAGCCAGCGGTCTTCAAGCCACCTGCGAGAGCGTTGAATCCCTCTTGGAGGTAGAGCTTGCCATCCTTGGACGGAGTATCTGTGCCCGGGATGCGCGAGAACACTCTGCTGGTCGCCGCGGCAAGGTCGGACGCCTTCCAACCAGTCGGGAACAAGTAATCCCAATCAAGCGTGTAAGGCTTCCACCAGAGACCAGCATTCACAGCGGTGCCGCCACCAAGAACACAGCCAGCCATCTGGTCGGTGTCTGTGCAGGCAATGCCCGCGGAGTCGACCCAGATCTGGTTGCACAGGCCTGGAACATCGAAACGGGTGAGGTTAGTACCAACAAGCCAGTCAGGCTTCATAGTACCACCAAAACGGCCCGAGGAGGCGGGCCCCTTTTCGATGAGCAGCACGCTCTTTCCAGACTCGCTCAACTTGTCAGCAAGAGGGATGCCACCGGCACCTCCTCCAACAATAACATAGTCATAGGTCAGGCCAGTGGGGACCGGTACGGAAGCGATGGCTGTCGCCGTTGGGCCGCTGCAGCTAGGGGTAACGGTCTTGGTTGCCTTGGCAGCCCAAGCAGTGTAAGATGGGTTAGCCGCGGCGCTGTCAAACTGAGCACCGAATATGCCCATGCCGTTGTCATGCTGGTTCAGCGTGATCTGGTTAGGGCAGGTCGGGTTGCCTGGCGACGGGAAGGCTTGCACCCATCCGAGAACCATGTATCCTGCACTAGTAGAAGCAGCGCCAGCTTGGCCGCCCTGGTTCCAGGAAAGGCAGTTCTGGCACCTGAAGATAACAGAGAAACCCGCCGAGTTGACGGTCGACGAAATCTGGGTCAGCGTGGCGTTGCCAGTATACAGATCGGGCATGCTGTATCCTGTAGCATATCGGAATGAGGTATACACGTCACTTCCGGCAGGCCATGCCGTCACGAGGAGCGAGTTTGTCATAGGTCCCCCAAGAGAGACACCACACCAGCCGGTGCTGGTAGCATCTTTGGAGGAGCATTGCTAGAAGACAGTCAGTATTCGAGATGCTTTACAATGAGCCGTCTCGGTGACTTACCAAGATTCCGATAAACTCGTTCGCGTCAACCGTAAGAGCATTAGAAGGCAAAGCCACACCAAAGGTGAAGCCTCCGGCAGTCTGTGAGCCAGCTGCGACAGGCCATGTGTTGAAGATGATGCCGGTCCCTGCATCGGTGTAGGTCACAGGAGTCGAGCTCTGGGCAAAGGCAGACGGCAGCACTGGGAGGGAGGCAGAATGTCAGTCAGGGCTAGCACATGGTGGCCATGGGGTTTCACTTACACGGAGCCACCGACGCCAGAGCACCGAGAAAGCGAGACGAGGATCTCATCTTGCAAGACAAACAGGAGGCCGGCTTCAACTTGCAGGCGTGCGGGATGAAAAAGAGAGCCCCAGCGGACAGCCCTTGGCCCCTGAGGACATGTCTCTGTGTATTAAATACGGCCAAGCTAGCTACCTACTCACAGGAATCCACGCCCGACGTTGTCAACGGCGCCACCTCCACATCCTCGGACACTCGCGTCGACACAAACGAGGAGTAATGGTCAGCAAAAATGTCCGGTAGGTGGAAACGGCGGCAACCCTGTCCGCCATCGCGGCTTGATGTAACTTCAACGATGCCTTCATGGGACAGACGAGGAGAGGGCCTTGGGGAGAACCTGGTAGACGGCAAGGGCCAAGGAGGCAATCACGTAGCCATATTGAGGGGGGATGCAAGGGCCAAGCAGCCATCGTGATCTGAATACGACCTCAAGGTGGAAGCAGCACCGAGGCGGTTGCGGCTCAGGGGGGTTAGAACGGCTAGGAAGTTGGACGGCATGGAATTTGGAAATGGGCTTTCGCGAATCCACGGCCAGACCCGGTTCGCGTGGTTGAATGACATCTCTGGAAGGCCCTTGGCCGTCATAGTTCATAACGGCCCGCGTCCAGATGCGTCACGGATAGATGTGCCGAAGAGGTGACAGGGGACTGATTGGGCTGGCGTCCGGGAAGTTGGTCGACGGCGGGCGATTTGACGGTTTGACCCTTCCCTTGCCGTCTGCCAGTGCCGCCGCCCGTGCCAGCGTGGTTGTCGTTCATGTCGATATCCACCCAATGCTTTTACAGGTGTACATCAATCTCGACCGGGGGACAGACAAACAGATGGATGCAAGCAAGTCCAAGAGCATAAACGCTTTTGAGGATGTGGATTGGCTGTCAGGGGGGACTGGGCACTCAGATGGGCCAGGGCTCCCGCCGTGCCGTGACCTTACCCCAAAAGACGCGGTATGAGTGCTCCGAAAGCACCCATGTGCCTCCGCGTCAACTTCGCCGAACCTGGAAACAGTAACAGTGGCGAAGGGATGATCGGCGGGGCATAAACGGACCGTATTTCATGGCTTTGGGATTCGGGGATGGTCAGCTGCTCGCTCGCTGGGTAGCATCAAAAACATCTAGGAGAAGGAGGTGCAGGTGGGGACGAGGAGGAATCAAAATTACAGAATATGAAGGGCGAGAAGGGGAAGAAGGACGAAAGGAAGAACAGACAAAAAAACGGGACAGGATGATTCCGCAGCGCAAATATTAAGCAAGGGAAGTGACGAGAACGAAGCAAACCAGGCTCCCAACTTACCAGCTAGTACCAAAACCCGGAAGGCACGAAGCGGCACTCGCTTGCCGGGCCGCTCATTCGGATCACGACAGCAAATGAATGAAGGCATCCATGGACTGAACTCGGAGCCTCGGATGCACCACTGAACACAGGCGGCATTATAAGAATACAAAAGGGCGATGATGCCAACAAATTTGGCAAAAAGTGAAGCTTCGACCCACGTGCGGCTCGAACGCACAATCTCCAGAGAACATGAACCGAAATCTGGCGCCTTACCATTTGGCCAGCGGGCCTAATGAGATAGTTGGGTTGATAGCAGCAAAACAGTTCTAAGCGGGATCGCTAGGGCAGTAACGAAGAAGTGGGCTTGTTTTGAGCTACAGGATGCAGTACAATTCAGGGTCATTGCGGGGGTTGCATTTGAGTTCACAATGGGTCACACTTGGTTCACTTTAGGCCCGTCAGAACCCCAACCCAGCAGCCTGCGAGGGATGGCAACACAGTGTGGTATTCGGCCAGCATGGACCACAGGAATCACCTTGCGTATAAGACTCGGAACAGTATACCGTCGTCCTCACGAACTCGCGAAAGACATCTCTTTTTTCAAGGTCGAGAAACGGCAGCCAGCTTTTACTCGCCCATCCCATTCCCCAGTAGATGTGGGGGCGGTGACTTGGAAGGCGCCGGAACTTGATTTGGCAGGTACGGTGCGCGCCGGGTAACCTGCATGTGGGAAGCTGGAAGGCGCGGATGTTACCCAACCTTTCAGCCTTTCGCGTTCTTGCATCGGGCTGGACCTGCACTGCACAGCACAGCATTCGCCAAGCAATGTGAACTGGCGTTGGCAGAGCCAACATGTTTTCGTACATTGCTGCGCTCCTGGGCTTTCTGGTGCTCTTTTACAACCCCATCATCCAGTTCTTGACGCCTGGCCATCCTCCAATCCGGCGAACGCCACGCCCCGACCTCAACCTCAATCTCTTGGCCCTGGAGACGACGACCAACGAAGCTAACCAGACACGACAACCATGTGTGCCCGATTCCTACTCCGTCCATGTCTTCTCGAGGGAGCCTCTCGTGCTGTACATTGAGAATTTCCTGGCTCCTGATGAGCGAGCTCACTTATTGGAGATAAGGTCAGCCTGTGGTTTCTCTTCATCACAACCCGGGCCACCCGTGGAATGATGGATCTATGTAGCGCTCCCCCCCCGATGGTCCTGACACAAACAACTATATCCAGTGACCCGATATTCGAACCCGCAACCATCACTCACGATGGCGGGGGCTCAACGCAGCTCGATTCTACGGTCCGTGATTCTGAAGTGGCATTAATCCCGCGGACGGACCCAGTAATGTGCATCGAAGACCGCGCGCGAGCACTCCAGGGCTGGCGAGACGAGGTCTGGATCGAGAAGCTGCGCGTCCAGCGCTACGGGCCAGGCGGCCACTATCGTCACCATTTCGATTGGAGTTCGAACCGTGGCGGCTGGGGCCGGGTGAGTAGCTTCATGGTGTGGGTTGATGACGGGGACGGCGCGCTACGGGGCGGCGGAACAGAGTTTCCTCTGCTGAAACCCCGCAGGGACAAGAGATGGTGTGCATTTGTCGAGTGTTCTGGAGACGAGGATGCGGCATCATCAGGGGTGGCCTTCAAGCCCAAGCCCGGCAATGCCGTCTACTGGGAGAATTTCCGATCAGACGGCACCGCCAGAGGATATGAAGAGACATGGCATGCGGGGTTGCCTGTCACTGAGGGAGTAAAGGTTGGATTAAACATCTGGAGCTGCGGGCGAATTGACTAGATAGAATACGTGCCGATGACAGGATGCAATATAGATGTGTTTTTCGATGTCTTGAATTCATTACCATCTGCAGTGCCTTGCCCAAGGTATTGGCGCCGTTGCGAGTTTATAACTTTCCCAAATACCCAAATGCGTTGAAGTGAGAATGTAAAGCTTTGAGACGCAGCTACAAGAAGACATCAAGTGTCGCGTGGTTATTTGAGGGCGGTTGGCTACCTGGTAGTACTGGTTTAAATACCTAGGTGCTGTGGTAGACTTCAGATGCTGTCTCGATTCTACCTGGTAATTATCGTGCCGACACAGCGTTCGGATCTTTGCGGCGGGGCAGCTTGTCGTTTCTGCTCGATACCTCGGAGGGGAGTGCATTCAAGATGGAAGGTGCGTTGTGCAGCAACGCTCCTGCATGCTGCAACGAACCACAGAGACTGTAGAGCTAGAGTTTGATCCAACGGTCACGCACTTGTGCCGCTGCAGGTCTTCCACACCTTATCCCTTATCCGATCTTTGTTTCTCATTGTGTCACCAACAAAATCCAGCACCGTGGCTCTGGGACCAGGCAAGGCAAATCGATGTATACCAAATATTTTAACCATTGCCAAATCATGTCGAAACCTCAATAGGCTGCGTAATACATCGGTGAGTCGTGAGGATGCCTGGCCTCACCTGCTTTCAGTACTAGGTACACCGCCCATCCTTCAAAGAAAGGCTGCAACCGGGACTCGGTAGTCGGACTAAAAACCATCCGCCTAACAATTGCGAGTCCGAGCCGTGCGCCCTCCAACCAACAAGCAGCAATGGAGAGGGGATAGACGCGACCTCAGCGTTACGAACAAGGGCAGACGTGGCTAAGGCAGACAACATGGCTGACGACTACCCTGCCGACCTTGCTTCCCAAAGGTACACGCAAAACATATACACCTGCACGTCCTCAATCAGGCCAGATTCGGGCCTCGCCCCTCACCTTGGCTTGAACACCGAGCGATCATCTCTTTCTATTTTCTGTCACACATCCCCTCCTCTGTTCGGACCTTTTGCAACTTGGAGTCGGAGTCGGACTTGGACTCGGAGTTGAGCTTGGGATCGGTATCGGCATCGGCATCGGCATCGGCATCGGTCACATACCAGGATGTCAAGAAGCTCGGAAGACGGGCCATTGGTGTCCGAGAGCGGAGGTGGTGGTGGTGGTAGTGGTGGTGGTGGTGTCACCGGAGCTGCAGAGGCGACAACGGCCTGTGAGTCGCTGGCCTGCGTTAGCTGTCGAGCCCGGAAGCTTAAATGTGAGTGAGGGGGCATTGAGCACTGAGCAGCTGCTTTATATCCGGCACTATGTTGGCGCGCTACTACATACAACCTCGCTAACGCCGTCCGCCAGGTGACAAACAAACACCCGTCTGTCTTCGCTGTGTGAGGTCCGGGGGCGAATGTGTCTACCCAGAGTCTCGGCGGAAACCGGCGACCAAACGACGGAATGTCAGAGAACTCGAGGATAGGCTTGGTAAGATGCTGACTCCCCTACTCCCCTACCCCCTACTCCTTACCCCATACCCCTAATTCTTAATCATCATGGAACTACATGCTGATGCCAGTATCCTGCAGCTCAAGTCGAGGGCTTGCTCAAGGGCGTTATCAGGCAGCCTGTCCCCCCGGATGCTGCTACTCAGCCCAACAAGCAAAGCCCCCCTCGACCAAGTGTAGTGGACGAAGCCGCCGATTCGAGCTCGGATAAGTCTCCTTGCAATGACCCGCATCAGGACTCTGCTTCCGATAGCTATGCCGCCTCACGTCTACCGGCGGGCACCCCGGAGGCTGTGGGCAACCCCTTCCAGTCAGACGCATTACTGGGACTCGGGCGCTTCGAGGCCTTGCCGCCACTCGAGATCATCGAGGCACTGTAGGCTTGAACGACACGGCCGTTACCGCTCCATCGCAGAGATGAACTGACAAAGACGCAGCCATGACATCTTCTTCCAAACACAAAAGTATTTCATCCACATGATACACCAGGGGAACTACTTGCGATCCTTCTACAACAGCGCTCCCCATATGCGTCCGCCTATGGCCCTGCAGTACGCAATCTGGACCACAGCCGCACATGGTCATGACAAGTACGGCCAATATCATGACATCTTCTACCAACGCACCCGCCAGTATCTTCAAGCAGATGAGCTCAAGGTAAGGACCTGAGGGTGCAGACCAGTTCAAACTCGCAACCGTCCTAACCACGCAGCAGGGTTGCGGGGAGCATTTCATTACAATAGCTCACGCACAAGCATGGGCCTTCATTGCCATAGACGAGGGACGCTCCATGTTGTTCACGAGAATTGCCATGAGTTCCGCGAGACTCATTAGGCTCGTCCATATGATGGAGCTTCACCGACTCGATGGCCCTCCCATCGAAGAGGATGACTCCCGTATGGCGCCCCCTGTGCCGGCCCCTCAGACGTGGGCTGAGTTGGAAGAGCGTCGAAGACTGTTCTGGGGTGCATACTGCATAGACAGTCATGCTAGCGTTAGCACAGGATGGCCGAGCCTGATTGATATTGACGAGGTAGGCTGTCCCCTCTGGTTTCCGTTTTGATCCCAACCCTGACATCCAGCAGGTGACGACGAAACTTCCGGCCTCCGAGGATGCGTTTACCAGCGGCAGAGAAGAAAATACCTCGACTCTACAAGACGTTTTCCGAGGCGGCGGGTACTCAACGTTCGGCGCCTCGGTGTGCTCGTGTCTCATCTTTAACTTACTTCTGAAGCATGTTCACAGGCCAATGCCCAGCGATCGGCCAGACGATTACAGCCACGGTCCGTTCTGGAAAAACCACAGAGATATCGACAACATACTCTCAAACGCGTTTATGTTTCTCCCCGAGCGCTACAGACTGCCCTCCAACCTCAAGGACCCTATTGCCGTCCATACCAATCTGAATCTGCATGCCTCGGTCATCTGCCTCCACAATGCAGCTTGCGACAAAGCGGATAAGTACAACCTCCCGGGTCATATCAGACAGGCCAGCAGGACCAGGGCCCTAGCCGCTGCGCATGAAATCGTCCGCATTATGAAGTTGTCCAGTAGTACAGCCCAAGGACACGTGAGCAACAACCCCTTCTGGTTCTCTCGCAGGCTTGAGAATGTTGAAAACCAAGTAATAACCCGTTGACCGCAGAAAAACCCACTTATAGCGCTCTCCTTGTACTGCGCAGCAGTGGTGTTTATTGCAGAAGCAAAAGAAAGCCCACAGGATTTCGTCCCCGAGAACCTCGAGTTCATCGTCGAGCGCATGGGCTTTATCAGCCGGCAACATGTCATCAAACGAGCTTATTACAACCAGCTCCTGCTCGACATCAAGCACAGCGGCATAGGAGCGTCCCTCACAATCCCCGACGCGCTGTACACAGACGAGAGCCTAGACGAATACTGCCTCCCCGTCCTTGCTCGCAGTTCTGTGTCTCACCGCCCGGTGCTACATCCCCGGCCGTTCTCCAAGCAACCGACG